CAAATAAATATCAAACTTATGTTGACTTTCCAAATAAATATCAAACTTCCGTTGACCTGGCCATATTAGGTACGACGTTAAGTGGGTTAATGGATCTCGTTAACGGAGGTAATTTTCTGTTAACATATATGTTAATTGATAACGACAATGTTTCATATAACAACAAAACGACGTAGTTATGTCGTAACGATTGAATTAAATCCCTAAAGTCAATCTTAGATCCCCAAATCGAGCATTATCCCTAACCCTAAATAGAGTATGATTTGAAACTCGGGATTTTATTGAACAGTTACGACAAAACAACGTCGTTTTATGTTTAGAAGGAATACTTGTTAGTGTTTTGATCAACAAACGAACTCTGTTTTAACAGAGTATGAAGAAACTTGATCTTTATTGATAAGATAAAATGTATTACACACAATGATGTTATTGAGTTTGACTCGATCTACTTATACAACACGAAACAACGTGTACGTACATGTGTTAATCGAAAAGACACAACTTTACGAACAGACACAACTATACGTACGTACATTCATGAGTCTTACGTAAATAACTAACTTATATGAATACGGCTTTAGGTTATATGACTTAGATGAGATTTGATTATAGTTCAACAATACTGTTATTTTTAATTAGCGGGTCTGTTAACAGAAAATTAATCTTGTTAACATTGTCTGTTAACTCACTTAACGTCATGCCTAATATGGCCAAGTCAATGAAAGTTTGGTGTTTATTTGGAAAGTCAACATAAGTTTAATATTTATTTGGAAAGTCAACATAAGTTTGATATTTATTTCGTTTCGTCGTGAGTTGAGGATTTAAATCAACGTTTTGAATAAGTTGGGGATTTTAATGACATTTTTTCCGTTTTAGAAAGATTTACAAAAGTCTTAAAAGATTTACAATGGTTTTCAAAGGATTTTGTAAGGGTTTTAAAAAGTTTTACAAAGGTTTTATCAATTTCCGTCGGAAATTCTTTTTGGTGGGAATTATTTTTTTTTTGGCGGAAAAATTTAAATTTCTCATTACCTTCTCTCAATTAAAAAGGGTAATTTAGTCATTTAACATATAAAAAGATGTATTTTTGAAATGGACAATAAGAAGGGGTATTTTTGATAAGGAACACAAAAAAAAAGTATTTATTGCAAATGCCCCAGAAACTACAAATTTTATTAATGTTATTATATAAAACTCAGTCAGAATTTGACATGTAGAAAAATTGTAATTCACAAAATCACGACATGTTTCAATTAATTGATTAGATTTTAATACATGGTTTAGTATTTTTCAATTTTCTAACATAAATTTGTTTATTTGTTTTGACGTAAAAAATGTTTTAAAAACGACGCTAAAACTGGTGACGTCAAAACATTTGCAATGCTTTCTTACACAACACTATAATTCATTTTTTCTATCGTTTATTGTTCCTCATCATTTGCAATGCTATTGTTTAAAGAGATAATACCAACTTTGTATTTAGCACCATATTTTTGGATTGAAATTCATTTGTATGACCTTTACCAACAAATTTTAATAATGAATTAATTATAATAAATACAATAAATTGTGTAATAAAAAATATATGCAGTAAATAATATCTTTAATGGGAAATTACGAGATAACATTTTTTAGAAAAGTGTATAATCATGTTTAAGGGGATAATTGTGAAATTAGGTTTTCAAAATTTTGGCAATAAAATTGATAAATGGTGAATATTTAGCAAATGTTTTTGGTAATTGACAGTTAACATTACTAAATTGTTGTGATATATTTTAATAATAATTTTGTTTGATTATAGAAACGTAAATTAGTGTTTTGATCAGGAAAAAATAAGACTATGTAAATAAGTAAATAACTTTATTCACTAAGTAAACTACTCTCTATTTTTTCGCAAAATGCTTTGGATACCGTTTCTCTATAATAAATTTTGATTTTTTTTAATATTTCAATTTTATTGTAAATATAAGTATCCGTCGATCGGACGGGTCCTAATTAATCTAGTTTGATAATATATTAAAGTAAGTAACAAGTTCAAGTTAAAAATTTAAATTGAATAATCCAAATAAACCATGAAAAGAATTAAATATTTAGTTATTTACAATATTATTAATATAATTAATTATTTAATTAAAACACATTAGGTTATTGGTTTGGGTTGGTTCGGTTCGAATAAAATTTCCACCCTTAATTTTTACACGAAATAAGTATAAAATATTTTTATTACAACAAAAACCTTAAATATGAGAGTTTATTTAGAATTTGTTTTATTGAAAATATTTAAAGATTGAATTTTTAATAATCGCTTGCATGCGACAACGCTGCTTTGGGCTTTAATACGATCAGTTGGGTTCAGAGAAGTCTTTTATTGGGCTTCATTCGAAGCCGGTTCCGAGTCTCGAAATTTATTATGTTTATGAGATGAGATAGGATATATTATATTTCTTCTTCCTCCAAATTTCCTTTAGTAAAATGCGCATGAAGACAATAATTGGGGTTTTAAATGGAAAAAAGAAATACTGGGGCTAAAATGAAAAAAGAAAAGAAATACTGGGGTTAAAATGAAAAAGAAAAATACGAAGGCCTTTATAAGAAAGACGTCTCGCCTAATCTTCTCTCTTCTCCCGCTCCTCTTTAACTGAATCTTTCTGGCGCGAAAATCGATCACTTTCGTCTTCTTCAGTGAGTTAGGTAATCTCTTCCTTCACCTTTCTACACTAGGTAACCATATATGTTTTACTCTCTCACAGTTCGCGATTGCCAAAAGCATCTTCTACTCAAGTTCTTGGTCACTTCGTCTTCCTCACAGGGATCGGAAATCTTCACTTTCTTGTGCCCGAATCGAATACATATTTTAATTTCCATTGTATCGCTCCTCGCAATCAATGTTTAACTTCAATGATTGTTCACTGATTCATGTTATTGTCATATTTGGATCAACTTGTATAAACTCTTCTGGCTTAGCCACATTACTGTAGTTCAATAACCAACCTTGTCTCTGATTTTTCGTGTAGATATTCTTATGATGGCTGGCTTTTTCTTGTCATATAAAAGAAGAATGAGAGATATCGAATTGAGCATGCAAAGGGGGAGAACAAATTTGTACAGTTTCAACACTCTGCTCGCATTGATGGGGATAATGACTTTTCTTATGAGCTGTGTTAGCTTGGGAGATATTCTGCAGATAGCTGAGGTCCACAAGAAATATCTGAAGGGTTCATTACTGTTGCTCTGGTCATGCCTTGTTGCTATCCTGTTGCTCTGGCCTGCTTTTATATGGTTCTATTGTGCCAGAAGACAGATGGATGTAGCAGAGTCTAGGAGAGCTGCTGTCAATCAGAACTTATACATGTTCAAAAAGAGTTTTGGGCAAGTTCTTACTCTGGGGTTCTTTGCATATTTGGACACTTACCTAGATGCTCATAACAGATTTTGGATAAGATTTTTGTGCGTGAGTGTCTATATGCATCTTGTGCTATTGATGGTCATCTTCAGAATCAGAGAAGATTTCGACCTGTGCTTTGGATTTCTTGCTGCAGCTTATACAATGTTTTATGACGCTTCCGAAACTTTGGAGGAGCAGCTTCTTCTTGGAGCTGTTATGTGGTTTTTGTGTTCCTTAAAAAATTACTTGATTGATGGAAAGGGGATCAGGCCTATGCAGAGTGTGTCCCGCTTACCTAGGGATCTCCGTGAGTTGATGAAGCAGCAGCCTGTGCGAACAAGCAACAAAGTCGAAGAGACGTTGTCTGAATTTAGAACCAGGTGGTACTTGATGTACAATTTGAATGTCATTTGTACCTTTTTGACATTCTGGGCAGCCTACATGGGGTGTTGTACCATTCTAAACAAAACACACCAGGAGCAATTGAATCGCCATGCTGGGGCCCTTGGAGGGTTTATACCTTTTTGGGCAGGATTCTGCAGCCTTTATGGTTGGGGTAAATGTACTGATACAGGAGAGGATAAGGAGGATCCAGTTAACCTTAACCTTCATATGCTTAAGAAGAGCCTGGGACAAGTGGTTACGTTGGGTTTGTTCACCTATTTGGATAAATATCTACTTGCTCAAGGTATATGGGTGGCAATTATTGTCTGCGTTGGACTATATCTACACATCGTGTTTCTATTGGTTCTATTTAGGGTGAGAGAAGATTTTGATTGTACCGGAGGTTGTTTAGCTGCTGGGTTTGGAGTCTTCTACAAATTCTTAGAGGATAGATTGGGGAATAAGTTCTCCAAAGAGAAATTGGGGAAGCTTGTTGTGCTAGCATTAGTAACTGTATTATTGTCTTGTCTAAAGAACTATCTGATCGGAGGCCGAGGTGTAGCGTACTCAAAGAATGCAGGAACGATTCGCCCAGGTCGGGAAAAGCGTAAGGTTGAAAGCAAAGAGTCTAAAGATAAGAAAAAGTGTAAGGTTGAAAGCAAAGTGCCTAAAGATAAGAAAAAGCCTAAGAAGTAAGTCTGAAGAGAGATGCGTAGAAGTTGTTAATAATCCTCTTTTACCGCCTTGTTTGATTCTTTTTCCATGTGTGTTGTTAATATGTTTAGTTGATTTTGAGGAAACATTTATACAAGTTAGACAATGTAAAGAGTACTAAGCATAGTTTGTTGTGGTTTGAAGTCTATGATATTAATGAAGTAAAATTGGTTGTTCCTCCATTGCTTCTTCGTGAATGCGCATGAAGATAATGATAATCTATTTCATTAAATCACCTTTGGACGGCAAAAACAATAATAGCATAGTAAACACAATTTGGTTATTGTTATTGTTTGGAGAAATGAAGTTCAAAACCGTGCAACAAGTTGATTCATTGACAGTTGTCTCGCTTTTACAAGCCTGTTAACCTAAACCTTAGAACACCATTAACGGTGAGCTCTTAGACTAAATCTTAGGTAAGTGATTTAAATTAAATCATCAATGGACTAAATAACTAAGAAACGCTTTTTAGTTAAGAGGTTTTCTTAAGTTTAAGAGGCGACACGTGTCGCAATTCCAGAAGAAGAAAAAAATCTCTCCCGTGTTTATCTCTCATTGTTTCTCTCTCTCTCTCGACTGCGTTAACACGAAATCAGATAGAATTTTCGCAAATCGATTTCTCCTCCGATTATTGTTACATCCGGTGAATCGGAGAGAGTTATCACAAGCATCTCAACGGACGGCGGCTCACCACGGCGCATGTGGGTCATATAATCGGCGATTTAGGGTTTGAAATCGAAGAGTCTTTTCACCGAATCTCCGATTGAGTTCATCAAATCTGACAAAATCCGTAAGCAGTCTATTTCTCATAGTAGGAATCTCCTTCTGTAAGTATTAATTAATGTTATTTGATTGCTATTTGAGTGTTTTGAAATTAGGGTTCATAGATTTGGGAAATTTAGGGTTTTCGTAGTTAGTGAAATTTCTTGAGGTTCCATTTGATGTTAGCTTAGTGGTTAAAGTTTGGTTATTTCTAAATCTATCTCAAAATCTTGGAATGAAAAAAATGCAATTGATGATTTATGTATGTGAAATTCACTAGCTTTATGGCCTCATTGCCTCTTTAAGTGATTAGAAAGTGACATTGTTCTCAGTTTTTGAATCCATATCTGTGAGGTAATGGCTTACTGTTACTATGTTGGGATCAAGATTCTAATTTCTATGTATATCTAGTAAGAGGAGAGGATATAATTGCTGCTTATTTAGCTGTGGATTTTATTGTTGTTATGAATTGTTTCATCAACGTAGGCTCTTTGACGAGATCCTATAATGTTCTGCTCATTTCTTGATTCTTAATAGTCACTGACTTTGTATAATTAGTAGTTCAATTATCATTTCTCGTTCTGTTTTTTACAATCTGAAGACTTGAGCTTTCTCTGTGTTGGCTTTTTCGTATTTCACTCTATTGGAAAATCAGGTACAAGGGTATATCCCATTACGGAGGAGATGAAGCAAACAACCACACAGCTCTTCCATGCCCTGGTGAGTTACTAGTTGAGCAGCATCACAGCAACTATGGTGAACCTTAGGCAGGTGGGCGCGATGTATTCGAGTTCTTGGCTGAATCATCCAATCTTAAACCAAACTCTCGTGTTCTAGAAATTGGATGTGGCACGTTACGTGTGGGTTTGCATTTCATCATTTTCACTGCCTTTGAGTTTTAAGGAATGGTTTGTGGTTATTCTTGTTTCCTTGTGATTCTAATCGATGAAGCTCTCAAGTTCATTGGGAGATGCAGAAGGACAAGAATCAAGAAGAAGATCAAAACAATGTAAAAGTCTGATCAACACAACAGACAGTTAACTCTTTTTTCTTACAATCTTTTGTTTCATTAAGAAATCTTAACCAAAGAGACAGTAGTAGCAACTAAACCTGTTGTTTTTTTAATTCTTTGTGGAAGCAAAATCAAACTTTACAATCAAACAAACAATTTATTACAGATTCTCTCAAATTCCATAAAAACATTAACTAAAGACAAGTAGTGTAACATTTCTTGTGTAAAGAAGCAAACTTTGGATTAGATATGATCTCTTTTACAATCTTTTGTATCATCAAGAAACCCATACAAAGTTTTGTTGTGACCAATTCAGTACAGATTCTCTCAAATTCCATTAAAACATCAACGAGAATCCCAGATTTACCTCTTGTAATCAACATCTTGACCAAGCCCTTCAAGTGTTTACCCAATTTACCTCTCTCAACATCATTGACTAAGACCTTGTTCCTCATCTTTTCTTCTCCCACAAGAAACTCCATCAATCTTATAAATTGTATATCATGTATGTTTTAAAATTTTTAATTTGCAACAAATATTAAGTTTTCTAAAATTAAAATTGTTATTTTAATTTATTTATTTAATTAATATTTTTTTTTCATAAGAACGAGAAGTTAAGAACTTATCATTGGAGACAAATAAAATTTAAAACCAACAAACAATCTCTTAACTCTAAACTTTATAAATTTAATATTAAACTAAGGCTAAGAGCCAATATTAACATACCACCAATACCACCAATAATGTTGCTCTTACATAATTTAGAGAATTACACCAAAAAACCTAAACCTTCTTCTCCTTCATTCCTCGACACATCTCTTCTTCAAAAAGCACACACGAGAAGAAAAACGAAATCTCTTCTTCGCCGGATGTCTTCGTCGCTGGATCTCTCCGCCGGATCTCTCGCCGGAATCCACTCCTCTTTGATCTCTTCGCCGGATCTCTTCTTCTCTCTCTCGTGCGTGGGTTTAAGGTGTTACGGATTGAATTAGCTGCGACCATTGTTTGAGAGGTAAGACTCATGGGTTTGATTATTGGATTGGATTTCTCCTTTAGTTATTGAAATCTCGAAGTGGGTTTCAGATGTTACGGATTGAAATCGCTGCAACCACTGTTTGAGAGGTATGATATATCTCTAATTCATGATTTTGTATTGAGTTTATGTGTACCAATGGAGACGAGTGTTATGACTTTGTTTGATTTTGTGTTTCTAATGCTTATAGGCTATGTGAATCTGGTGAGTTTTTCTTTCAGTGATTAGCTATTTCTTCTCTTGTAATTCTTTTCTATAGAACCTCCGAGAAAGTAGAATTTGATACAGATGTTAATTGGTTTGAAACCTCGAATGCATTTTAATTGTTTATAAGATGCTGCATTGTTTAGATTTATGTGGATTGGATCTGTGTGGAGATTATATAGATCCAATCCACATAAATCTAAACAATGCATTGTATGTAACTGTTTATAAGATGATGTGTTGTTTAGATTTATATGGATGTTTGTTACCAATGTTAAGGTGGATCTTTGTGAAGATAGCTTGAAACGTTTCATGCTTGATGGATTGTATTGGAATCTGTAGTGTGTGTTACAGAGATGAAATGTTGTCAAGCTTGGCTGCATCTGTCTTTGGATTGTAGAATTCGTTAGGGAAATGAATCTAGTGAGTTTTTATTTGCTGCTTTATCTATCAAAATTTGTGTGTTGCATTGTTTCCGGTTTTGATTAGTTCGGTATTTCTGTGATCTGCTTTTTAAAATTGAGTTTCTGTGTTGAATTGGTGTCAACTTTAAGAATCGTATGAATGATGATGTATGAAGTCTGTTGCAGATGTTGAAGGTTGATCTTAAGGCTGAGGCAGAGAAGACTGATGGTGGTGTTGGAACTGGTAACCAGAATAAGGTTTGTATTGATAGGTTTAGGAATGCACCAAAAGTAGTGGTAATGAATTTATATTTAGTTATGACAAAAAAGTTGAGCTTCTGGGATCTTGTTTCTCTTTTGACCGTTGCATCTGTTGTAGAGCCATTCTTAACATTATAGGTCACAGAACTAGTAGTAGTATCTCTCAGGTTAGACACACACACATGCTCGAGTCCAATATCAGTGATACATGTTTTTGCTTGATATGCTACTTCAACCTTGAATGTTTTGCTGCTGATCTTTAGATTCATAGATCTGTACGTTGCCATAAGGCTTGCTTAGCCTCTTGAACTTTTAGGCTATTGAGATTGCTTTGTTTTGTCATGATTATGATTGTGTGACGATTACTTTGTTTCTGTTTCAGAATTTAAAGACTTTGACAAAGGAGATGCTCTATATAAAGAATTTGACAAAGGAGATGCTCTATATGAGGCTCGCTCAAAACTAGCTTGATAACATCGTATTTTAGCCCACTTTTACTATGTTTTATTTAGGTTTTCCATGGAGAAAACAGGAGATATTGGAGATTTCAAGGATGTTTTCAAGTATTTATGCTTCAAGGATGAATAATGTGTTTTCAAGCAAAAAGGAGTAAAAGACGATCAAATCCCGTTTCAAGACAGTTTCTGTGTCTCAGAAGTATAGCGTCCGTTCGAGGTCTTCCCGATTACCTAATCTAGAGATCTTGGTGGCTGTGGAAAGCTAGGAGAGTCAAGATTCACCTCAAAGTAGAATCGGAGATTTTCATCGAGCCAATTGGAAGTTATTCCCTGAGGAGTGAATACATGTCCCGGACCGGCCAGACAGCCTCGCGACCGGTTCGGAGCTTTCTGACGTCCCCGGTCGTGGAGCCCGTGCCCGAGCTGCTCTTTACGCCTCACCTCGGTCATCACTCGTCGTGCCCTGTCCAGAAACTCGAGCCTCACTTAACCTAATTCATGGAAAATGACGGTTTTGCCTCTTGACCTAATCGAAGCCTATAAATACCGAGACAAGTTGAAGAAACCCGACGGCCTCTTCACAGCTTCCTCACCGCCTCCTAAACCTAGATCTCGCAGCCTCCTTCGACGAGACTCTCAGCTCTCCTAGCTCCATGATGTGTGTGTAATTTCAGTTCATAACTACGAAAGGCGAATGAACGAGTTATCCTATGTTATAGAATAAGCCGGCAAATCTCCCTATACTCCGTTACTCAATTGACGCAGGCAATGATGCATAGATCGACACATTAGGGTTGGATTCGCTAAGTACTCTAAGTCCTGTTACTCAACTTACGCTGGTAACAACACGAAAGATTGGTAACACTATGTCCGAGATTAGGTTTACCCGATTCGAGCTCCTAACACATGCATTAAGTAAAAGATGTCCCAAAAGAATCTAATTATGAGCGAAATAATAGATCTATAAACCTAATATGATTTGAACCATGAATCCCCTTTGAATCACCCTATAAAACCCAACAAAGAAAACTGCTCGCTCATGATGCTAAGAAACGACATGGAGATGAAGTAGAAAAGCATAAATAAACGAGTATGAATAAACAAAGGGAGTTCAAAGGAAACTTCTCTAGTGTCACAGAAGATAACTTGTCTCCCCAAAAGTCTTGAAAGAAAGAGTAGAAGAAAGAGTAGAAGAGAAAACAATGAAGAATAAAGGAGAGAGCTTCAAAGGACGACTTCTTCGGAATGCAAGAGCTTCGGCGAGGTGGAGCTAGGAGAGCTGAGAGTCTCGTCGATGGAGGCTGCAAGATCTAGGGTTAGGAGGCGGTGAAGAGCTGTGAAGAGGCCTTAGGGTTTCTTCAACTTGTCTCGGTATTTATAGGCTTCGATTAGGTCAAGGGGCAAAACCGTCATTTCCCACGAATTAGGTTAAGTGAGATTCGAGTTTCTGGACAGGGCACGACTGGTCACGACTGGGGTGAGGTGTGAAGAGCAGCTCGGATGCAAGCTCCATGACCGGGAGCTCCAAGAGGCGCCGGACCGGACACAAGGCTGTCTGGCCGGTCCGGGACATGTCTTCCCTCTTCAGGACATAACTTCCGAATGGCTTGATGAAATGCTTTGATTCTACTTCGAGGCGAATCTTGAATCTTCTAGCTTTCCATAGCCACCGAGATATCTTGATTTGGTAATTGGGAAGACGTCGAACGGACGCCATACTTCTGAGGCACAGAAATTGTCTTGAAACGGGATTTGATCGATTTTTACTCTTTTTTTCTTGAAAACACATTATTCATCCTTGAAGCATAAATACTTGAAAACATCCTTGAAATCTCCAATATCTCCTGTTTTCTCTATGGAAAACCTAAATAAAACATAGTAAAAGTGGGCTAAAATACGATGTTATCACTCCACCTCGCCGAAGCTCTTGCATCCCGAATAAGTCGTCCTTTGAAGCTGTCTCTTTTACTCTTCATTGTTTTCTCTTCTACTCTTTCTTCTACTCTTTCTTTCAAGACTTTTGGGGAGACAAGTATCTTCTGTGACACTAGAGAAGTTTCCTTTGAACCCCCTTTGTTTATCATACTCGTTTATTTATGCTTTTCTACTTCATCTCCATGTCGTTTCTGAGCATCATGAGCAAGTAGTTTTCTTTGTTGGATTTTATGGGGTGATTCAAAGGGGATTCATGGTTCAAATCATATTAGGTTTATAGATCCGTTTATTTCGTTCATACTTAGATTCTTTTGGGATATCTTTTACTTAATGCATGTGTTTGGATTGATCACCAAACGCTGATCGAAGAGGTTAGGAGCTCTAATCGAGTAAACCTAATCTCGGACATAGTGTTACCAATCCTTCATGTTGTTGCCTGCATAAGTTGAGTAACAGGACTTAGAGTACTTAGCGAATCCAACCCTAATGCGTCGAACTATGCGTCGTTGCCTGCGTAAGTTGAGTAACAGAGTATAGGGAGATTTTCCGGTTATTCTATAACCTAGGATAACTCGTTCATTCGCCTTTCATAGTTATGAACTAGAAAGAAAACATAGAAACCATTGAGATCTAAACCCCAGTTAGTCGAGAACCATGATTCTCGGAGAAACCCCAGAACGCCCAACGCCTTAGTCATATTAGCTTACAACCGATTATCATCTTAGCTTTCATTAGTTCATTTAGCTTTCATTTATTTGCTTTCTTATTTCATTGCATTAGTTATTAGGAAACCCAAAACCAAAACACCAAAGTTTAGTTTTGTCTTAGCTAGCTTTTTTTTTTTGAATTTAATAACCTGTAGCTACACTCTCTGTGGGATCGATCCTTAAATACTATTCTGATTACTGTGCACTTGCAGTTTAACATGTGGTCTTTCAGGTAAAAGATTGAAGCAGAAAATTCACACGCATCAAGCTTTTTGGCGTTGTTGCCGGGGAGTGAATCAAGCTACCATTGAATTCGATAAGAGATTTCCTCTAAGATACTTTGAGTTTGACGTTTATATTCTCACTTTTACTTTTCTTCGATAACTTCGTTTTCCTTTTAGTTTCTGTTTTTGATACCTGCAGTACATGACAAGGAGTCAAAACTCAGGTGTGCCGCCATACCAAGATATAGGAAGACTAGAACATGAAATCTGGAGACTTCAAAGACAACAACTTATGGCCGACCAAAGAAACCCGCAAGACGGAGACCTTGGTGTGGATGTCGGATTCGCACACTCAAGTATTTTTATGAAGTAGGAAAGATTACTCTTGAGGGACAAAAATGAATATGTAAAAAGCTTATGAATTGTTACAAAAATTGCTATAGTATTTCTTACTCGAAAAAGATGGATCCCCCTTACATTGACATTCGCCCTTATATTTATACATAGAATAACAACACTTAAATGCCTAATTAAGTACAATTATTCTCTCTTACATGTGTCCGTTTTGATCCTTGACTTTAATGCTTAACGCTCGAATTTGAGGTGATTCCGATCTTCATGGGCTTCGCCAGTCGGCCCAAATATCCTTGGACCGACTTAACTGTGACTTCGACTCCGGACTCATGTCGAGGTGCAGTCACTTCGACATGAGTGAATCAAGCTTTTTGGCGTTGTTGCCGGGGAGTGAATCAAGCTACCATTGAATTCGATAAGAGATTTCCTCTAAGATACTTTGAGTTTAACGTTTATATTCTCACTTTTACTTTTCTTCGATAACTTCGTTTTCCTTTTAGTTTCTGTTTTTGATACCTGCAGTACATGACAAGGAGTCAAAACTCAGGTGTGCCGCCATACCAAGATATAAGAAGACTAGAACATGAAATCTGGAGACTTCAAAGACAACAACTTATGGCCGACCAAAGAAACCCGCAAGACGGAGACCTTGGTGTGGATGTCGGATTCGCACACTCAAGTATTTTTATTAAGTAGGAAAGATTACTCTTGAGGGACAAAAATGAATATGTAAAAAGCTTATGAATTGTTACAAAAATTGATATAGTATATCTTACTCGAAAAAGAAGGATCCCCCTTACATGGCCATTTGCCCTTATATTTATACATAGAATAACAACACTTAAATGGCTAATTAAGTACAATTATTCTCTCTTAAATGCGTCCGTTTTGATCCTTGACTTTAATGCTTAACGCTCGAATTTGAGTTGATTCCGATCTTCATGGGCTTCGCCAGTCGGCCCAAATATCCTTGGACCGACTTAACTGTGACTTCGACTCCGGACTCATGTCGAGGTGCAGTCACTTCGGATTCTCCTTGTGGTGATAACCACTTTGACTGTTCCTTTGACTCACGGGTCTAATGGGCTTTATCCTTCGTGGACCGTTATCTTGATTACGTGGCAATCTTTGGTTGGTCCCGGACTACTGGTGCGGGATCCGACACCAACAACTAGCCCCCCAAGTCTTTCAAAGTGCTATTCCAATTCGGAGGACTTTACTGCTTTAATGACCAAAGATTGCGTTTTGAGGAATCTTCTGATTTCCCGCCAAGATCTCGTCAGTCCTTTAATTTCGGCGCTACCCATATTTGGTCGCGTGACATCTGGCGCCATCATGACCGTATATTAATTATTTACTATTAAAGCGAAAAAACCTCTCCACTTCCCCCACGATTCCCAAGGCGATTTCATCATTATCACCTAGCTTGCGTGAGGTAACTTCTTTCATCATCATTTTTACTTTTACTTTTACACTTGCGCTTTATTCGAAACTTCTCTCTACTTTCCTTCGCCAAATTTCTCCTCGTCGGATCTTGAATCTTTCATCTTCTCCAATGGCTTCCGATTCTGAAAGACCCGAGTCTCCGTCATTCGACGATAGGCGCTCTAGTAATGACGAGTGCACTCGTCCTAATGATATTGCTGGTCCGCACTATAGATCCACTTGTACTCTTCAATCCCTCGAGCAGTTAAAAGAGCTTTGCCGGATTCCGCCGGAAATTATGGCGGAAGCACAAATAGCTGACCCCACGGAATCCCCAGAGAACCTTCGTGATGGTTACTTCTGTGTGTACGAGATTTACTTCAAGGGCTGCGGACTAACCTTCCCCCTTCCCGAAGCCCTAGTTCGATACTTGGCGGTTCTCGAGATCGCTCTCCCTCAGTTAACCCCCAACCTTCTCCGAACCATTCTCGGAATTATAACAGTAGCGGTGGAAGCCAGATACATTATCGGTGTCCCCGAGCTGAACGAGCTTCTAAGCGTGAGAAGTTCATCGAAGAAGATAGGGTATTTCTCGGCATATCCAAATGCTAACAGGAACGGCATTTCGCATCTTCCAAAGAAGGATGAAAATTGGCACCATCCTTGGTTCCTGATTAAGAAAACCCCTGCTTCGATTGGAAGTCTATCAGATTTACTCCCATCGAAATGGTCCGCGAAACCTGGTAGAAATTAGGTCGCATACATTTTTCCAGTTGTTTTACTATTCCTGTTGATTAAACTTGTTGTTTTCACTTCGCAGCTTTCGTCGCTCCGACTCTACCATCTGAAGAATTCATCGGATTCTTCAAAATAATCCTCGAAGGGGAAACCCTTTGGAATTCTTTCACTCTCCATCGGTTCATAGAAGCCAATCAAAAACTCAGGATGAGCCCTCCCAATCAACTTCATCGTCTTCCGCCTCCTCCCTCAACCCAGGGAATGTCAGCTCGGGCTCTTACTGCCCAGCAAAAAATGATCTCCAAGCCGATGACTGAGGCTTTTGACGAGAACAAGGCGTTCCTTGCGACCGCCATTGACAAAAAAGATTATAGCAAAACCTTGTTGGTTGACGATGGTAGCACCGAAGGAGTTAGATCCGTCGCCGTTTTTAGATTGACACCTCGTCGTGAACGTCGCGATGACCGTCCTCCCTGGAGGCCCCAATCTCCTCAAAGAACGTCGCGATGAACGTCCCCAATGACCGACCTTAGCAATGAACCGCTTAAGGATTTGATTCGCAAGAAGAGGGACAGGTCATCTCGCAGTGGTTCTTCTCCGCGGAGAGAGAAGTCAAGGGCCTTGACTGACCGTTCTCCTCGATCGTCCCCTCCTACTGAACCAATGGGTCCTCCTCGTCCTGTCGATATGTCTTCTTCTTCTCAACGTAGTGGCGAGAAGACGAACCAGAGTGTAGCTCCTCAGAAGGAAAGTTCTGAGTCTCGAGATGACCCTTCGAAGACAAAGCCTGCTCTTGTTCCTCAGATCAAATCGCTCTCAGGTCTTATGATATACATGTATTCTTTTCTTTTCGCCTTGTATTTATTCTGAATTTCTAAGACTCTTCCTCTTTTGCTTTCGTAGCCATGGAGAAAGAGGGTAACGTCTTTCGGTGCTTCAAAACCCGATCAGGCGCGATCCTGCCGGATTTTGACTAGTGGCGCTCTGCGATTCGCGAACGCTACCTACTTCATGCTCATCATTCATCTCGGGTTAGTTCCGCTTCATTTTTCTGATTTCACTGTCATTCTTTGAACTGATCTGCCATCCCGAGTTTATGTATAATGTCAGGCTAATGGCGAGCTTAATGATATAATTGAACATTACGAAGGGTTGGTCATTGGTCGGGGAAAAGAGATTGACACGTGGATGGGCAAGTTCTCTAATCTCGAGGCTGATCTCCGTTCTTCTACCGACTCTAAGCACGAGCTAGAGGACAAGGTTGACAGTCTCTCTTCCGAGCTTGAGAAGATAAAGGGGCAGACTTCATGAATCTGAATCAACTGCTTATACCCTGAACGACCAACTCATTGAGCTCAGCGCAAAGTACAACGCGATCACCAAGTTGCGCGATTCCGAGTTGGCAAGGTCGGCATCGAAGGCTAGAAAAGAGGTGAAGGGACGTGGGATGGAGTTGATTCAAGGGGCCATCCGCTTCATCCAAACCGAGAAGGCTAGGTCAGATCTGGATTCAGACATCAAGGAGCACGAGAGCAACCTGATCCTGTTGGATCAAATCCATGACAAAGATTTCTCCGAAGTGCAAGAAAGGTCCGAGCTGACGGCTAATTTATTCGAAAAGCGGAGTCGCTTGGCATCTCTTCCTGCTTCAACCTTCAATCATCAGCACTTCGAGGAATTCTTCTCAGAATCGCCTGCCATAAGTGAATCGGGTCTAGACTGGGCAGGTAACCTCTAGCTCTTGATACTCACTACCTTCTTCTTGCCTTATATTTAATTGTCTGGAACTTTCCTTCCTAGGCTCAAGCAAAACGGAAGGTGTCGTTCCACCCGAAGTTCCTGCTGCGCCGGAAGTCACCCCGGGAGATGGTCGTACCGTCGAGAGTGGACCAGGAACTTCTTCTGATCAAGCCCCAACCAAAGAGACGAATGAAACCTCGACAGCCGAGACGGGGTCCGAGGTGACTGCCAATCCGTAGTGGCTGTGTCCACTTTAAACTGGGGATTGTCCCATTTATTTTAAAACTTAAATTTGAACATGTTTTTGCCTAAGGAGGCTTTATTATCACTTTACTTCGAACAAGATATTTGCCTGAGGAGGCTTTTAAACCTTTTTAGGTCATGATCCCAAGAGGGTTTGGTTAAAACTGTGTACGGGTTTGCAAAGTCCGCGTTTAACCCTTTTTGGCCTTGTGGCTATGCTTTCGAGATTTTAGGTTGATCAGGCCTTTCTCTTTAGAACGCGAGAACTGAGCTCGGCTTAACGCAAGTTCCCCACTTCGGGTTTAGTCAACTCAGTAAATTTGTTTGGCTTGACCCACAAAAGTTATTTATAATAGGCTTTCTGCCTTTAATGCGACGGTTAATTTTTCCCTTTCCAATCTTTGGGAAATAGGAAAAGTCACACGTCTTTAAGGCAATAACTGCTTTTCCACAACTTCCAAAAATGGTTTAAACCACTCGTGCACGACATCATTATTAGACTTACGGTTCCAAGACAAACCCTAAGCCCTTATAAATAAAGGCTTAACTACTTCTGAATTTTCTAAGAGGAATTTCGGAGTTTATTCGGTAAAACCACAATAATGGAAAACGAAATAGCAGTCCCCATTGATCCCTGCAGCCCACTTTTCCTATCCGGTGATGGTTTCGAACCAACCGGCGTTCTCTTCCCTCATGCCGTGTTCCACTTCCCTTCGAGGGAAAAGAAAGAGGCTTACGATTTCATGGACAAGGTTAGTATCCGTCTTTTTTATTTGGACTTTTTTGTCCTCCTTTTTAATTTACTTGTTTCTACGGCAGGTCGTCGATAAACATCGCCGTTTGTGCGATGAACGGCAGCGGCTGGGTATTAAAAGACAAACACTCGAGGCTCGTATTGCTCGGGTGGAAAGGAAGATAAGGGCTCTGGAAAGTGATCTCTTTCAATGGGAATGGCGGAACTTTGATTCTGTTGCTGAGATCCCAAAGATGCTCTGGATGTATCTCCGTGCTAAAGGAGTTCCAGGGCCCGTGAATGCCCCGGTGGATGCCAAGAACAAGGCGTCCACTTCGAAAATTAAACCGGCGATGAAAGAGCCTGTTCCTGAGCCTCTTCCATAAATGTTCCCTAACTCTGCTCCTATTTTGAACTTGTAATGGGCTTCGGCCCTTTTTTTCTATTTATGGAATCATTTGCAATTTTCCTTATTCTTCAAAATATTTTCGGAGAGACGTCTTTTAATACAGGATCGGTTTAAGAGCATAAATCTCTCCGCGAATCATTCCATTCCTAGGATAGAATTCGCAGCTTACTAGGGACATGACGTCCTTAAAAATTATAGTCTCAATTTCCTTTTACTCCTCACCACTCTTTTTTATTTTAGCAGGTATGGAGTTCAACCTTCGATGTTCAGAATCTATGCCCGACTTCTCCAGGATCGAAATGATAAACGAAGATGTTCTAAATGGGCCAAATAGGCATCCCCTTCCACCTCGCGGCTTCTTCAGATCTCAGATCCGAGCTCTGTGCGCTTTGATCAGGGATCTCCCAATCAGAGACCAAGGAACAGCGATGGCATTCATAGAGGCGCTTGCGATTCAACATCAAAAGCTTACGTTGGAAAAGAGGAGACTCCGGAGGAGGATTAACCGAATGCAACGCAGACTTACTACGGTATCAAGAGATCTTCACATCCTTGGCTCTCACCCCGGAGAATGGATCGAGCTTGGAATCTCTGACTTCGCTCGTATTCCGGACTGCATGATGCCAATCCTCGATCTTGCTGGTCAAGGAGTTGAAGTGTTCTGCTCATCAACAAGATCTCCCTAATCCGAAGTGTACGATGAGGGATATTCCGTCTTATTTGTTTAAATAAATGCTTTTTTTTAAACCTCCTGTATGTTCGCATAGCCGAACCTTTATTCCCTTCATTTGTTCGCACAGTCGAACCTTTTCCTTTAATAAAGAAATAAAACAAATTTTTATTAATAGCTGAACTCGTTTCCGAGCTGCCTACGTACCCATTTCGGGATCAAGCCACACCGTAGTTCATGTACATAAAAAATTCGTGTAGCTTAAACATAAAATTTCTTTAGATTGATCACATTCCAAGGTCCCTTGACTGGCCTGTCTTCTAAGTCTTTCAGCCTATAAACACCGTTCCAAACTACTTCGGTAACAATGTAAGGTCCCTCCCAATTAATGCCGAGTTTGCCGGCGCCTTCTTCTTTTTTATTGTCAAAGACGCGCCTTAACACATAATCTCCTACGAAGAACGGCCTACTTTTGACTTTAGTGTTGTAATATCGGGCTGCTGCCTGCTGGTAATTCTGAATCCGAATCAAAGCTTGATCACGCTTTTCATTTATGGTATCTAGCGAATCATCAAGCATTGCTGAATTTTCTTCCTCATTTAATGGTGCTTCTGTTCGGCGAAGTCCGGGCACGTTGAGTTCAGTTGGTACTACCGCCTCCATGCCATAAACCAAGGAGAATAGAGTTTCTCCGGTAGGTCGCCTAGGGGTTGTACGATAGGCCCATAGGACGGGTTGGAGTTCTTCATACCATTCTCCCTTTAGATGATTAAAGCGTTTCTTGAGATTGCTCAGTAACGTCTTGTTCGCGGCTTCTGCTTGACCGTTGCCTTGCGGATATCTTGGAGTAAAGTAACTGACTTTGATTCCCCAGTCCGCACAAAAGGCATCAAACTCGTGTGAAATGAATTGTGGCCCGTTATTAGTGACTATTTCGTACGGAACTCCATGTCGACATATAATATTTTTCCAAATGAAAGTCTTCACCGCCGAATCCTTGATGCCAACATATGCCTCAGCTTCAATCCACTTCGAAAAGTAGTCCGTCAGGACCAAAAGGTATTGTACACCTCGAGTTGATCTGTGCAACGGTCCAATGATGTCCATTGACCACCTTATAAACGGGTATGGGGCGGAGATGGAGGAGAATAACTCCGAAGGTTGATGGATCAATGGTGCATGGAGTTGGCAGCTTACATCTTTGGGCGAACTTAACACAATCAGTGATCATAGTGGGCCAATAGTATCCCATTCTTTTAACTATAAAAGCCATAGCCCTTCCTGATGAATGACTCCCACATAATCCTTCATGCACTTCGCTCATGACGATTTTGACTTCGGGCCCAAAAATGCATAATAGGTAAGGGTCACTGACACCTCGTCTATACAATGCATCCTTTGATAGAAAAAATTTCGCGCTAACGATTTTCATTTTCCTGGCCTGCCACATTATTCTTTGGGAGCTCGCCTGTCATGATGTAGTGCTTTATTGGCTCCCTCCAGTCAGCCCCCTAGTCTTTAGCCGGAATTTGGTCAACCTTGTGAAATACTCGTGGCTCTGGTTCGGGATGTTCGTTTGGTTCAAGAATATCTTCCACGATTAATGGCTCGGTCTCTAATATTGTTTCTGGAATCACATCTTCTGCTAAGACAACGGGTTACTTGTTAGATGTTTTCGATCCCTTTGATTTCCTCCGTTTGATGGGTGGCAGTTCGACCTCCGGTTCGCCACGGTCACTTGCCGCTGCTCGAGATCTTGTAACGACGAGTGTTTCTTTGTTATCTTGAATGCTTCGCTCCGAAATGCATTCCACTGGAATAACTCTTTTCAAGTCAGGATCTGATGTTGATTCTAACGCGGCAAGTGCGTCCGCGGTTGTATTCTCTCCCCGGGGTATGCGAATTAACTCAAATTTCGAGAAATTTTTAGATAGATCCTTCACCACTTCGAGGTATGCTTCCATTCTTGAGTCCATGGCCTCGTAGTCTCCATTAAACTGGTTAACTACTAATTGTGAATCACAATAAGCGACTATTTCCTTAGCTTCAACTCCTTGTGCCAATCGAAGTCCGGCAATTAGGGCTTCGTATTCTGCCTCATTGTTGGAAGCATTAAATAACAATCGGAATGATTGTTCTAGAATTTCCGATGTTGGAGACTCGAACTTGATTCCCAGTCCGGATCCTTGCTTTGATGAAGACCCATCTACATGCAATTTCCAAGTTTGGTTCTCCGGTTGTTCTAGCGTGCCAGGTATTGGTAGTTCGGTCAGGAAATCTGCTAAAACCTGAGCCTTCATACTGATTCGGCTTTTGAATTCTATATCGTACTCGCTCAATTCCACCACCCATTTCGCCAAACGTCCGGACTGACTTGGACTATGAAGTATTGTTCGGAGTGGCTGGTTGGTTAATACTTCGATCGGATGGGATTGAAAATATGGGCGCAGCTTCCGAGCCAAAGTCACTACCGCGAGTGCGAGTTTTTCCATCATTGTATATCTGGTTTCCGGATCCGTCATTGACTTACTTATGTAGTAAATCGGCTTTTGCTCCCCGCGGTCTTCCCGGACCAAGACTCCACTAACCGCATGGTTCGAAACGGATATGTACAAATAAAGCTTTTCATCCATTTCTGGTTTGGACAATATAGGTGGAGTAGTTAAGTATGCCTTAAGCTGCCCAAAAGCTTCTTCACACTTCTCATTCCAAAAGAATCCTTTGTTTCCTTTTAGAATTTGGTAAAAAGGTAACGACTTATCTGTTGATCTCGAGATAAAACGATTCAAAGCCGCAATCCGCCCAGTTAACCGTTGTACCTCCTTGAAGTTTCTTGGAGACGGCATGTTTAAAAAGGCGTTGATTTGATTTGGATTGGCCTCAATCCCTCTTTCTGTCATAATATAGCCGAGAAATTCTCCGGATGGGACTCCGAATGTACACTTTGCCGGGTTCAGCTTCATTTGATATTTATTGAGAATATCGAAACATTCCTCTAAATGCTTAACGTGATCCTCCTTCTTTAACAATTTAACCAACATATCATCTATGTAGACTTCCATTGTCTTCCCGAGATAATTGTGGAACATTTTGTTAACCAACCGTTGATAAGTTGCTCCTGCATTTTTCAAACCAAAAGGGATTACTTTGTAACAATAGATACCTCTATCCGTGACAAATGACGTTTTTTCTTGGTCTTCGGGGTTCATCATTATTTGGTTATAACCCGAAAAAGCATCCATGAAGGTTAACAGCTCATTCCCAGCGGTGGATTCTACAACTCGATCTATATGCGGGAGCGGGAAACTGTCTTTGGGACATGCTTTATTGAGGTCTGTGAAGTCGATGCAAACCCTATCTTTTCCATTCTTCTTTTTGACCACGACGGTGTTTGCTACCCATTCCGGGTATTGTACTTCCCTTATGGATCCTATCTTTAAAAGTTTGTCCACTTCGTCATTTACTATTCTTGCTCGCTCCACTCCGAGCTTTCTTCTTTTTTGTTTTACCGGCTTGAAGCTTGGATCCACGTTTAGTTCATGACAAATTATGCTTGGATCTATGCCAGGCATATCCGCCGCTGACCATGCAAATGATGTTATGTTTTTCCTCAAGAGTTCGATCAAAGCTTCTTTTAGTTGGCCAGTCAAAGTTGCTCCAATTCGGACTTTCCGATCTGGTTCGTCTTCTTCTAACACCACTTCGATCACTACATCCTCTTTTTCCTGTCCACTAGGAAATTTTGGTCTTAGTCCCTCTTTTGCGGGATTCGTTAATTGCTATTGGATCTTCAAACGGTGGCTAGCTAGATAACATGTTCGTGAAGCTTCTTGATCTCCTCGAATTATTTCCACTCCATTTGGTGCTGGAAATTTGATACATTGATGATATGTAGAGGGGACTGCCTTCATTTGATAAATCCAAGGAGTCCCGAGGATGATGTTGTAAGCTGCGGGCTTATCGAAAACGACAAAATCCACAATTTTTGACACCTGTTTGGCAAGGACCGGTAGCTTGATCGTTCCGAGAGACATGGCTGACTCGCTTGTAAACGCAACTAATGGAGATGGAGGTCCTACTATGTCCGCCCGACTAATTCCCATTCTTTCTTAAGTACTTAAAAAGATTAAGTCGACCGAACTGCCTGTATCGATAAGGATCCTTGATACTTCGAAGTTGGCAACGTCCAGGGTAATGACTAGGGCATCATCATGAGGTCTTTCGAGGTGCCGCGTTTCTTCTTCGTTAAATGATATTGACCCTCCTTGAAAATCGACTTCTTCGCTCAAACTTTCTTTGAGTAAAACGTTTTGCCTATGCTTCTTGATGGAACTTATGGAATCTCGGCAAAGTTTGGAACCTCCTAGAATCACA